GACCCCCGCTCTGGTACAAGGTTGGACGTATGCATTAGCACCTGCAGACTTGCGAAAGCTGTAAATACGGTGACAGGTAAGAACAGTTATCATTCACATTAGTAATTTCCCTGTGACCGTGTAATTCCCCGATAACCGAAAATTATCTGAAGCGATAATGACATTGACAGTAAGATAAATGGGCAGGTGCAAAAAGGATGTAGGGGACTGGAGATGAGAGCCTGTATCATTAGGGATTAACCTAGCCACAGGCTCTACAAATAGACTGTCTCCACCTATAAGCTGCCACGGCACAGACAGTTATTTGTACTGCCAGGCTGCTGCTGCTGCTGCTGCTGCTCAGGATAAGAGGGAAGGAGGTTCAAAGCAGCTGTGGAGGATAGGGGAGTCATGTGAAAGTAAATGCAAGCCAACAGGGAACATTTGATGAGGGTGGAGGGGGGGGGGGTGGCTTCATCACAACAGCCTTCATCTACAAATTCAATTTCTGCCTCTGACTGATGTTTGAGGCACTGACGGTGCACGACTGGCAGAAATAAAAACATACACACGACAAGGGGAAATAATAGAGTCAGAAAAAGAGTTTTACCGTCAGAGATCAAACGTAAACAGACTGGATGTATTCATTTATTCACTCCAAGATGCTAAATGTTATTTCATCAGTACAATCCAACTTGGTCAACAAAACAATTTGGTGTTCATTTGAGCCATTCTCTAACCATTCTGGATCTACGCAGCTGTGCAGCTCCGTAGTTGCCGTGCTTCATCCCCACCCCAGTCTTCACACAAAAACGGAACATTTACTGCGCACGGACGTCACCAAGTAACACACAATCTAAACAATGTCAGCTTCTAAGAAGGAGTCGGTGAAGCTGACATGTATAATCAACATCTGAACAACAACATCATCTGAACTTACGTAGGAGTACTTTGAATGTAATACAGATAAATGGAAACATGTTGCAGCTTTGGGAACAGCTGCTTTCCCTGCTGTAACCGGAACAAAAACCCATTCAGCTTATCATCATTTTGCATTTCTACATTTTTAATCAAATATAATGGGTTTTGGGGGAATAAGAATATAGGCAGCAGGATCTGATATTGTGACGTTCACTATGTTTTATATTATAGATATTAAGGTATAAAACAGAATGAAAAAGGCATAAATATATTTAATTGCCACTTGTCAAATTGCTAATTATTAAGCTCATGAGAATTATCTTATCAGGACACTGGGCTTCCTCAGTAGTGGAAGCCTGCGGCATGTTGGAGAACAACTGAAGGAATCGGATCGATATAGGTATTGGCAAATACTCCCAGTTGCAGTAACAGTATGCATGAATATATATATATATTTGTATATATATGGACAACCTAAGGTGCCCCCGGGGTATGTTGTAACACGTGAACAAGAGGGTGAAAAATGGTACTGTTAGTGTGTATTTCAATCAGTTAGACCTTCAATGAGATTCAAATGTCCACTGGTGTATGTCCCAGAACTAATTATTCTTACATTGTTCAGGAAGTCTGTATTGGACAAGTAGCTCTTCGTAATTACTAAGTGCCCTTGAAGTAGCATGCAGTCTCAAAAAGGTTGGTGACCTCTGCTTCACACTTTTAAGTGTGTATGACAGACATAAGACATAACGGCTGCATCAACCTCCCAACTCACCCCATGGTTTCCTACGTCTGTATTTACAATTGTATGAAACGGAGGGGGAAAAAAGTTGCATTCTCCACAAATAAATCTTCATTAAGTTGGCAAAAAATGACAAGTACAACTGATGAAAGGCCTTTAAAATAATTTCCATTCAATTAATGTCCAAATGGGCCAAACAATGAGACGATGTCTGTGGAATACCATAATGAACTTAACATAATATCTTCCATTCAGACAATGGCGTTTGCTCTGTAGTGACGACGCTGTATCGGTCCTTTATCAAATAATGTAAATTTAACCCATTATGGCGCCTGACACCATCAGACTGAGGCTGGTGTCTCATCTGTCATTTGATCAGAAAACAGATTACGGCTGTACAGAAATGACAATCATTTAACGAAGAAAAACAACAACTTTTTATATTGTTTTTCCTATGGAATTCAAAATCATTTGCCTGGATGCTACCAATTTACTTTCAACTGTTAAAAAAAAAGATTCTGACACTTAAAATAACACATAAAATAATAACCATTACTTGTATCTCCATAACCAAATACGTAAAGTGGGCCACGTGCAACAACCTGATTTAACGCCCACGAGTGTTGGGGTGTTGAATAAAAGAACATCTGGTTTTTCCAACCATGAGGAGGGTCTGGTTGTGACAGACTTTGTGGCAGAACAACAGTTGGTACAACACAGCACGTATAGATCTACAGCAGCACACCAGGGAGGAGTCTAAAAATAGACCAAGACTGGGATCAATAACCGCTCAATAGTTTCTGACTCTGATATGACCAGAATGTGTATCACTCTGTGCCCAAATTCAACAGAAGCACTGGGACAGAACGTTATAAACAGAAAAAAAAAACATAAAGATGCCAGCTGTGATAAATATGCAAAATTGTATTTTTGCGTTTTGCAAATTTGGTTAATTGGGTATGAAACTTCACATCAAGAAAAACCAAACAGCTAATTGTTAGGAATGTCTGTCCTCATGTCTTCTGCTACATTTTGGTAGGAAAACCACAGTCTTACAGTGACATATATTCTAAATAATATTTATTGTATTATATAAATCCTAAATGATGCAGAGATAAAACAGAGGGGTGCACAAATACAACTTGAGGCCATGGCTCCTTATGACCCCTTGTGGTGTTGGGTCAACATGCAGAACCCTGGTTTTCTTACTCAGGTTTGAGCCCAAGTTTTGATATAACTGATTTTATTTAGTTTTTAGCTTCATTCCTTTCGTTTTCCCTCTCTGTCTTGCAGGCTCTGGACAGTTGTAGTTGCTGCACCTACGTCAGCACACATTAACACATGGATAATGTAGCTATAAGATGCAGATAAGCAACAGAAATCCAAGCAGGCGAGGACATCGTGGACCTCTCATCGATGTGGATGTTGGAAGCCTTAAAATGTACAGGACCCGAGGCAGCACGCACACTGACAGCAGGACACGAGGTCCAGTGTTTCTGCTGGTACTTTTAGAGCAGCAGCAGCGGCAGGTCAACCTAGCCCCTCCATCCCCCCCCCCCCATTTAAGAGGAGCAACAGTTAAATTCACGACCGTATGTGTGTCGATGTGAAGCCATTTAATATATATATACATTATATTATTCAAAACATTCTTCAAAACAAAGCATGCACATTGGATGGAGGACATAACAGAGAGGGATTTTTATATACCTGACACCACACAGGTCTCACAGGGACACTTCTCAGACAGATTTGTTCTCACGAGCCACAGTTACTGTGGGGAAAAACAACTTTTCTCTGTACCATTTGTTTTCGACTCTATTCAAATATATGTATGCATATATATACTGTTTCAAATATATGTATGCATATATATATACTGTATATACACATACAGTATGTATACATATATACACAGACATATAAATATATATATATATATATATTCAGATTAACCATTTTCATGTCTTTCTTCCTGGGGTCCATGGCCGTTCTCTGAGGTCTTTCTCTTGTAAACTCAAATGTATTCACAGCTCATTTCAAATCCTCTCAGTTTATGTCCAAGCTGTCTGTCTCTGTAGGCTCTACACTCACGCCAGACTTTATCTACAAACATAAATGTTTCCAAAGAAGTCCCACCCAAAGACTGCAAATAGAAATGGACTGGTGTGTGTGTGTGTTGGGGGGCGGGGGTGTCAGTATCGTCAGTAGACATGTACCAACAACAAACATTTCCCGATTATTCCATTGACTCTGCTGTGAGTTTTGGTTCTTCTTAATTAGAATGTGTAGCCAGTTCTGGAATTCAGTTCTGACTGATAAGACAGTGATGACAGGAGAATGTTTTTAGAAGCATAATATAAAAACCAAATTCATGGAGAGAACATATTGTAAATTCTAATGCATGTTCCACTGGTAAAACTGCATTAAATCATATTAAAGTGAATGATTGTCATTGATGCACAGCACATCATCACACACACAATGAAATGTGACCTCTGCCTTTAACACATCACCTTAGTGTGGGCAGTGGGTAAGCCACTGATATGGAAATCGAACCTGTGACACCTGGCAACGATGGTCTGAAATCCATCCACTTCTTATATATGATTGATAGTCTTTAAACAAAAAGCCCAAATCGAATATTCTCAATTAATATTTTTTACATTTTCATTCTAAATGTTACTCGTTCCAACTTTCTAAATTTAGTACTTGTTGATTTACTCTGGAGTTCAACAAAATCCCGCTTGTTCCGAGGATTACGATTTTATTACAAGACAATCAACAGGTATCGTCACTGCAGCTGGTGGCGACACCGTCTCTGCTTCAACAAGGTTTGCAGTAATTAAAAACAAGCCTGAAAAACAGATGACCACGTAGCACAATATCATTATTACTAACAAAGGTTATCACGTATAACTAACCCGCCCACTCAGTTTCAAATGTGATGCCGCTGTCATGTTCACATCCACAGAACAGACTGGAGTGCAGACAAACGCCGCTAATAAAAAACAAAAACAAAATCTGTGCTGCACATATCCGTTGGCAAACCACAGTCGGCAGAACACAGAGACTGCACTGGCTTCAACTTAGTGCCAGCAGAACGGAGTGCTTTTTAAAGTGAATCCCGCCCCGCCAGCGGCGAGTGTGCAGAAGAAAACGGTCCGTTCAACATCAACATAAACATGCTCCCTGCAACCGTTGGCGGATTCACTAAAGTTCCCGCTGTGTTTGAAGAAAAAACACAAAACCCGCCTCCGCTTCGGCCGCCAGAAGCTAAAACCGCCGAACCGGTCTGTGACATGACAGACAAACGCTCCGAGAGCGAGAAAATTTAAGATGATTTTAGGCTGCGCCTTACCTTCAGTTCCGCACTCTCCGCCATCTTGTATTTCTTTACGCAAGCGCGTTGATGCGCTGTCACATGACAGGGACGCGCAGAGCTCTGCTGCGGGAACGCGCACACATGCGAGAAGAGTGCTGCGTTCAGGAGCAGAAATGACGGAAGGAAAAACTATTTATTCAGTTAAAAGAATTATTAAAGATGGATATTCGTTCCAGTTAAACATGTATTTTATTTCGTATTTCTACCTTTTTCCGGAGAATTCTAGATTAAAGCCAATTACAGCTCTGTAACAACCTCATATTATAATTATTTAACTGAAAAATGCTGATTTCCTTTACAATTCATGTTTCTGTTGAAGAATTCAAGATTGAAGACAAATATCAAAGCCCTGTTACAATCTCATATTATTATAAATGTTACAATCTGACTTTTTAAATCTAGAACGAGTTGTAAAGAATTATTAAAGATGGATATCCATTCTCAGACTACAAAGAAAAAAAATAATGTTCAGAATAAAACCAGACTTTGAAGTCAGAAATATTAACCAAATATTTTGTGTATTTAAAGCTCCTGCTAATAAAGTAACAATAAATAAAGAGCTGTATCTTTTTATTATAAATAAAGCTCTAGTTCTGGTCATTTAGTGTCGTCAGAAAAATCCTTCGTGTGATCGTAAGACGGTGGTTTGTAAGCCACTAGATGGCGCCCTATCACTTCAAATGAGGCTGAATCTAAAATAGCCTGAACTCAATGTTCTGCTCTGGATCTTTCTGTGTGTTTTTGTCCCAATTAACGCCTTTGTAGCCCATTTGTTTCTAAGCAATGACATGTTCACTCAGTGTCATGGTTGAATCACGAATAAAAAGAAGAAGAAGAAGAAGAAGAAGAAGAAGAAGAAGAAGAAGAAGAAGAAGAAGAAGAAGAAGAAGAAGAAGAAG